CGAGAAGGACTTGGGGGTACTGGGGGATGAAAAGCTGGACATGAGCCAGCAATGTGCGCTCGCAGCCCAGAAGGCCACCCGTATCCTGGGCTGCATCAAAAGCAGCGTGGCCAGCAGGTCGAGGGAGGGGATTCTGCCCCTCTGCTCTGCTCTGCTGAGACCCCCCCTGGAGCACTGCGTCCAGCTCTGGGGTCCTCAGCATGAGAAAGACACGGACCTGTTGGAGCGGGTCCAGAGGAGGGTCACGAAAATGATCAGGGGGATGGAACACCTCTGCTATGGAGAAAGGCTGAGAGAGTTGGGGTTGTTCAGCCTGGAGAAGAGAAGGCTCCAGGGAGACCTTATTGCAGCCTGTCAGTACTTAAAGGGGGCTGACAAGAAAGATGGGGACAGACTTTTTAGCAGGGCCTGTTGCGACAGGACAAGGGGGAATGGCTTTAAACTAAAGGGGGGTAGATTCAAACTAGATCTAAGGAAGAAATGTTTTACGCTGAGGGTGGTGAGACACTGGCCCAGGTTGCCCAGAGAGGTGGTGGATGCCCCATCCCTGGAGACATTCCAGGTCAGGCTGGACGGGGCTGTGAGCAACCTGCTCTAGTGGAAGATGTCCCTGCTGATGGCAGGGGGGTTGGACTAGACGACCTTTAGAGGTCCCTTCCAACCCAAACTATTCTACGGTTCTATGATTCTATATCTATCCGCATGTGAATTGACTCCATTCATCGCTGCACTTGTTTTATCAGCCTGCCTTGTTGGGAAGTCAGATTTCTTCATCTCTAATTCACAGGGCCCCTCCTGGAGCCCTTTTCAAAGGTCACACTTGTTGCTTTCTGTTGGCACTGAGGCGGGTTTTAGCACCAGATTACACACTGTTTTTCATATTTAAGCAGTTTCACGTCTGAATTTACATTAGAGCTCTTGTATGAATGCAGTTGGAGCCCAGTGATACATCACATTTGATTTTCCTGAGCATTTCCCCCCCCTGCTTCTAAAATGCATTCAGTAGCCATTTCAGTATGAGACCTTGCCGCTGACTTATTCTCTCCCTTGCTCCAAAGGAGGAGCTGCAACGACATGTGGGTGTGCTCCCACCTATTTTTGCTCATGAACAACAGTGCAAAACCCCTAAATTTACAGTTCTTCATTAAGAACACAGTTGTTTACCAGACGAGGAGATTCAACTACTATAAATATCTCAAAGAGATGCAGAAAAAGAACCCTGAATGTTGTCCTTTCCTTCCAAAGTGATTTGGCTCGATGAAAGTACTTGCATCTTAGGTTTTCAGTAAACCACAATTATTTATGTAGAAGAATAGGTTGCACGGAGAGGTTTCCATATCAAAAAAAAAAGGTTCACTTTGAAAAAAGCTTCAAAATAAGTTCTACAAAAGAAAGGACTGGGTAGGAGGGAGCCCAGTGACTGGGTAAAGAAACCACCATCGATCAGCAGCGGCTTTAGCAACTGGACCCCATGCACATAGAACATCTATGGACAACAGCACACATGCCGAGGAACGGCACCAGCATCACTTTGTTTTCCATTACTGTATTTTTCAGTCTTTCAGAAACGATTCAACGGTTTTCAGTTTGATGTTTTATTGCAACTTATTAAAAAAAAACCCACATTCCTGGCGTACCTGCAGGTTTCTAACTTCACGACACAGAAAGCTCACACCATCCAAAAAACATAAATGTTTATGGAAACTCAAAGAGATTAAGATCCTGCCCAGCTCGCTATGTGCTTAGTTTGTAAAACACACAAAATGTAGCCAGACATACAGAGGCAACGAGCATCTCTTTGCAGGGATTATGTTACAATGCTCTGAGACGAGACCAGCCATAACCCACCAGAGCCAGTCATAATTTTACCTGGGCTATCTGCTCATGTTCTTATTATTTCGAATGTCCTTTCTGTTTGTTTTGTCGTGAACATATTAAGTTCACATCTGGCGCTACTTCCAAGTAAGAGCATTAACTGATGACAGCCAACCATGCATGTAAGTATGGAATTATCGTATGTAAGCATGAATTAATAATTTTATCTCCAGTATTATAAGGAAATATTTGCTTTATAACCATTTCCATGTACTAAACATTTAGTCAGCACAAATATTCACGTTTTACTAATAGAAAAGCACGACCGCACACACGCAGAGCAAAGACAGGGTTGCTGCCTCAAGGACTATCAGCCCTGCATTGCCTCTGAGACACCCCACACTTGATTTAGCCTTCCAGGAAGTCAGATATTAGGCACAGCAATGAATTTATCACACAGGCTGGGATTTACTTGAAGAGGCACGCACGTATTGCCACAGGAGTGGTTAACTTAGTCAAGATATAATGGAATTACATACAAGAATCCCTCAGAGGCCTCATTTGGCACTCTCATTTTCTACTTGGGTTACCTCTTTTCAGATCAATATTTTTTTTCCCCACTATGCAAAAGCATGCCGATAATACAGTGATAATTCTTCAACAAAGCAATTTTAAATGCACTTTACAGACTTCTAAGTTGCCATGCCTGATTGCATCACCTGGAAATAGTTTGTAGATAGCAAATTTAAATAAACTTGGAAAATGTCAAGACATGAAATGCAACTACATAAAGTGTGAATGAGCTTTAAATAGCTGATTTTATGGAATTTACAGCTTATCCATAGCTATCTAATTCTAAGATACAGGAATAGTGTACATTTAAGTAATTCTAGGATGATATTTTAAAAAAAACAAACTGTGAGCAATCATATTTGAACCTTTTAAGTATGTTATTTCCTATGAGTTCAAGTGTCTACTCTTGGCTTGATTTGGCAAGCTGCCACGTGTGAGCACAGCAATGCTGATCTGCTATTCTCTAAAATTCATAGCTTGAAACCAAGTTATTTAATGGTTGTATTTTCATTACTTATACCATAAAGAAATGTTCTGATCAGATAATGAGATACAAAAAACGGATTATGGGATATGTTACTGAAGAACCAAAAAATCTCCAGCTTACTTAAGATCAACTACAATAGGAAAATGCAAGTCTTAGTTTTACGAACTCGATTCCTTTATCCAAGCTTTTCCAGAAAAAAAGTTAATTAAAAAATAAAGATGACTGCTTAGCTTTGGGGCTTGATAATTGGCACCAAGTACCCTGCACACTATGGCAGGATCTGTCTACTGCACTCTCATCTATTGGAGCATATTGGAAAAGTCAACATCGCTGGGCAAAGCAACCCAAGATTTTGTACTTCACTCATTTTGCATTCCAGATTTTCACACTTCCCAACTCCCATACATAAATTAGCTTCCTTACCTTCATAATGTTTACTAAGTCTGTCTGATAATAGCGATCTTGGTGTGCATTAGCAGCTGCTAAAGTGAGAAGATAATCATTCCTTGCATGGATAGCCTTGGAATTACACTCGGATCGTCGTGCTTTTAACTACAACAAGAAATGGAAGTTAAAAGATAGGTACTAATGAGAAGTTAAATGACCAAATGTATTAATAGTAAATTAACATGGATATGTATGTATTAATATAGTCAAAACTTTACGGGATTAATAGTTTAACAGTTTTGTTAATGGTAAGGGGATTTCTATTGTATTTTTCTCTCATGCAGTTGTAATTTCACATGCTGTCTTCAAAGAACAGTTGTAACTCCCACTGGAAAAAATCTTGTAAATTTGGTCATATGTAATTCTGCACTCTGACTGCCGACAGAGTGCTCTTATCTCATCACTTGTTCTAACAACACACCTTCCGAAATGTCAGTCACCTCTAGATTCCGGACAACTTTGGTCATATGCCTCATGAAATTAGCAGCAAAACGTTAAGTTTTTCTTATACTCACCTTTACACTTGCCTTCTGCAAGCTTATCCTTGACTGAAAAAGACTAAGTTTGGACCTGAAACAGAAATTAACAGAAGACATTACTGTCTTACACCATTTCTACGCAAGTACAGGATAAACAGGCCACTGCACTTCTGCAAAATTTTAATTTAAATAACTTTTTCTGCCTAAATTTTTATTTGTCTAGTTTTAAGTAAAGCTTAAGGGTCAAGGAAAATATTACAAAGTACGCTGAGCTACATCAATAGTACCTTCATTGCACATTCTGAAATCTTTTGCACAGCTTACCCTGATTTTGGAACAAAATTTAAATACATCATAAAAGGGAAATTGGGTAGCGGCTGCAACTTGAACTGTTTTGGTGTTTGATGGATTTTGAGTTAGCCCTCCAGACACAAAGTGCTATAAATTTGAACTACTGGCCATCTGAAGGAATATTAACGAAAAATCGTTAGTAACTATATTCCAGGAAGCTGGAGGAGTACCCATGTACACACACATTTTTAAAAGCAGAATTGGTCTGATTTTCACAGTTGGATTCATGAAAGAGAAATTAGAGAAGTACTTTTATTAGCTGTTTGAAAGACAGTGGTTTAAAAAGTAAATAAGAAAACATAATCAAGTAAATAGCTATTTTAATCTGAACAGTACTGCAATATGAATCTGTCCCAAAATTCCCAAGCTCAAGTGTTTGGTTGTTTGGGTTTTTTGACTTTCTTCAGATATTGTAGGTAATCTTACTAAAGTTCTTCTTTTCATCATCCAGCCCTCATAAAGTGAAAGACAAAAATTCTCTAGTGAAACCGTAATTTCATTTCATTTCATTCCCTGAGAACAATTCTGAGTAATTTCTAAAAATAAAAAAAATAAATTTGCAAAAAAGGGTGAGGCAAACTCCCATCAGACAGGCCAAACTCCAAACTGAAAACACGTGAGTCACTCGCTTTCCTGAAAGGAAGGAAATCAACCTCTTTAGAATGTCAAGGGGCATAAAAACCTAAAGCCTCAAAAATTTATCTTCAAAAATGGAAAACAGCATCCCATCCCCTCTCCCCCTCCAAACGGAGTGAAACCAAATTTGAGATCTGTGGACAGAAAAGGAAGCAAGCAGCCGTTAATATCAAGAAGAGTGCCAGCTCGCAACACTGTCCTTTGAAAATGTCGAATTAAAGCAGTTAATTTAACTTCCTTCCTGAAGAAACCAGGCTAAATAAGTTATACTTTACTACCAGGGTAGTGGCATGCTTGAAATGGTTACAAAAATATAGATAAGCAAAAGGACAAAAAATTGGCACAAGCGCTTTGAAAGCTATTATTTTTCTTCTAAAATAATATCAAGTGCAAAAACTAATACAAGTACAAATCTGCTTTATACGCATGCGATTATTTATACATATGCTATTATAAAAACATACTTGGCCTCAATATCAGCTTTCTCCCGAACTGCTTGAGCCATCTGTTCAGTCTCAAAATATTTCTTTTTGCCTTTAGCTAAATCTTTTACTGTCTCTTGTAATTCAGCTTGGATCCTTGTCAAATGGTCCACGCACTGAAAAAAAAGCATTCAGGAAACAAAACATTAATGGTTTTTTGCATCCAAATAATACTGTCATCATCATTTTACTACTCTTTATTACATTTTATACGGAACAACGCGGTCCCCGAGTCACTACTGGTCAATTATTCATGTCTTTCTTTTAAAGCTGATCAGAACATAAAACCGTATTTCTTTCTTTCTTTCTTCTGCTCTTTAACTACTCAAATTCAACAATAACTCGCAAATTAAACATAAAAGTTCTGAAAGCTTTGGATGAGGTAATTAGTTGAAATAATGGGAATACAATTGGGAAAAATCCAAAGGCAATCTACTGGAGGTGATACAAAAAATGATTAATCTTTCCTTCTCCAAAATTTAAAACGTAAGGCAAAAGCTACCACGTAAACCACAATGCAACAGCAACAAGAACAATTTGATAAACATTATTTTAAGAGCTCATTTTTCTTAAACTATTTCGAGAGCTTTCCAACAAATAGGGTTATATCAGAAATCAGCGTCATCCACAAAGAAAACTTAGAGGCTTAAAATGCATAGCGAGGTAGTCAAGGAGTGAAAGTAAGTCCATTCGTTTTCCATACGACCGAACCAGCGTTACAACATACATTTTAATGTCAAAAAATAACATTCAAACGAACAGAAGAAAAATTACTGCACTGGTTTTGGCTGGGAGAGCATTAATTTTCTGCATAGTAGCTGGTATGATGCTATGTTTTGGATTTGTGCTGGAAACAGAGTCGATAACACAGGGATGTTTTAGCTATTGCTGAGCAGTGCTGACACGGAGTCAAGGCCTTCTCTGCTCCTCACCCCATCCCACCAGCGAGACCAAAGGGATATCCCACACCATGTGGCGTCATGCTCAGCATATAAAGCTGGGGAAGAAGAAGGAAGCCGGGGACATTTGGAGCGATGGCGTTTGTCTTCCAAAGTCACCGTTACACGGTGATGGAGCCCTGCTTTCCTGGAGATGGCTGAACACCTGCCCACCCATGGGAAGGAGTGAATGAATTCCTTTTTTCCTTTGCTTGCGTGCGCGGCTTTTGCTTTACCTATCAAACTGTCTTTATATCAACCCACGAGTTTTCTCACTTTTACCCTTCCAATTCTCTCCCCCATCCCACTGCGGGGGAGTGAGCGAGCGGCGGCATGGGGCTGAGCTGCCAACCGTGGTTAACCCACAACAGTTAAGAAAATGTTAAGCAATTCTCTAAACATCCTATCAGCTTCAAAAAAAATTTCTGGGAAAGGATCTATGTTAAGCAGAAAGGATCTACTTAACAAAACAAATGTGAATTATCAATGTCCAGAATTATACTATCTTTAAAAGAGATTTATAAAGATTTTCTTTTACCCAAACTAGCTTAAGTACATATAAGAGTGATAGTTCAATGCATTTATGTTTAATTATAGATATTACAGACTAGATGTAAGGCTCCAGCCAATACTTAGAGGCAGACCCTCAAGCTAGCTTGAGCAAACCAATTTGCCTTTCAGTTTGCCTTTCTATCCTTCAAAGACCAGACCCAAGGTCCCACCTCTTTTCACATCATTATCACATACCCGACTTCTCCCATTCAAGGCGCCACACCTTGTCCTCCTACTGAACGCCCCCGCTAAACATCTAAGGTTTCTCATTACACTAATTATTAATGCATGTAACCTCCCTTACAAGCATTGCGAGACTAATAAGGTGGTGTAATCCAACAACGTAACAGTAATTTCACAGTATTCAACAATCATTAAAAATAATATCCAGTCACCTGCAGAAGAAAGAAACTTTTGTTTCAGTCAGTAGAAATCACTCATCTTCTCACCACACAATTGCTCTCATTAAAAATGTGAAATTTCTTTCTGGCTATAAAGTACATAAAAATTTATGTAAGTTCACACTAAGCCCAGTATTTGTTGCGTGCAGACCAATAAAGCAATGGGCTTTGAGCAAGCAATGACAGAAAAATGAAAGGTAGACAAATCTGTATATATTGGACAGCTGACAGAGACCTAAAATCATTTCAAAAGGACTGGGTTTTTGCTACATCAATCAGTATTTTGATCCCTGAAGTCTCCTGCTGGCATCAAAAAATTAAAATATCAAACAACCCCAATTGTTAACACGATCATTTTAAAAGCATAAAATAATCTTGCTTTTGCATCTCTGAAGAATAAAAAGTTGTCAGGAGACTGGATGCCATTTAGGGATTTGGGGTTGGGTAGACACTGGCTGTATGTAAAAAGCTGTTTCAGAGAGCTGACAGAGATGGTTTCTTGTTGCATTGCCTCCATGCAGAGCGATTTTATTATATTTGCCTTTCAGTCTTCTGATACAGATCTGTAAAAATGTCTGCAGCAGCGGCCACATCATCTTTCCTGAAGACACCCGATGAACGTACGCAGCAGCTCTCTGCCTTCTCTTCCGAGGCCAACATACGAAACCACACATCACTTACGGGATAAGCTTACAAGGTCTTTGGGGAAAGATAATGGCAAGGGGTGGACTGCTGCCCTCAAAACAGCCTCCTTGTCTGTGTCCAAGAGCTGCTCAGCGAGGGATAGGGATTAATTTTCTTAAGAGGTCAGACGTGGTCTACAGGAGACACATTTACTACCCCCTCCAGGGTCACCTTGCGATTTAGCAATATTTTTTGACAAATTATGATGAGGTTTTCTGAAATTGTTTCAGTTTAGTATTAAAACAGGTCATAAAAATGAAGTTTCTCTATGGTACCAAATCGAGGAAGTAAAGGTTTACAGAAACATCTGGAAAATAAAGACAGACACATTTACTACCCCCTCCAGGGTCACCTTGCGATTTAGCAATATTTTTTGACAAATTATGATGAGGTTTTCTGAAATTGTTTCAGTTTAGTATTAAAACAGGTCATAAAAATGAAGTTTCTCTATGGTACCAAATCGAGGAAGTAAAGGTTTACAGAAACATCTGGAAAATAAAGACCATAGAATCATTTAGGTTGGAAAAGACCCTTAAGATCATCGAGTCCAACCGTCAACCTAACACTGCCAAGTCCATCACTAAACCATGTCCCTAAGCGCCTCATCTACACGTCTTTTAAATACCTCCAGGGATGGGGACTCCACCACTTCCCTGGGCA